AGCATTCTCGCGCAGACAGGCCTTGATTTGCTTCCTGGCCAAGTCGGGGAGGTCTTTGCCGATCTTCACTCCCTTGGTCGGGTCTGTTCCGAGGGGAACGAGTTCGAAATCACCGTCCGGAATAGGTCAGAGGGGGATTTGCTCGCTGCTGGCCGGTTCGTCTTGGTCAAAACGGGCGTCGAGCGCAATGGAGTCGACCTTTGGTGGAGCCTTCTGAACTTCTACCTCAGGAGATGCTCTGTCGGGCTCTTGCTTTGTCTTCTTGATGGGCCTAGTGCTGGGACCCACGTCGACAGTATCCCGTCCCCTTGAAGCGGCGTTGAAGCACCTGCGGGCAGCGGCGAGGTCGCCATGGATGGTGGCTACCCTTGCCCGTTTGGTGTAGAACTTCATTTTTAGGTGGACAGTTGAGGGGACCGCTGTCAGCTCCGCCAATGTCGGCCTCCCCAGGATGCAATTGTACAGGGACGGGCAGTCAATGACGAGGAAGCGGACCTTCACCTGTCTTGTAGCAGTTCCTTCCCCGAATGTCACGAGGAGCTCGACATATCCCCAAGGTTTGGACGTCGAGCCGTTGAAGCCTTGAAGGTCCGAACCTATATATGGAGACAGATGTGAGTCGTCCAGTTGTAAGGTCCGGAACAGCTGAGTGTACATCACGTCGACGGAACTCCCTTCGTCGACCAGGATGCGATGCACGTCAAAATTGGCCATCTTTGCCCTTATCAGCAAGGGGATGACTGCGTTCGGTGCTCCGCCGGGGAGCTCTTCCAAGTAGAAGGTGATAGGCTCTGATCTGCCCTTCACCATTTCAAATGTCACAGTTTGTGGAGGAACTTTGTCGACCAGTTCGTCCAACTTCCTCTTTGCTGAGTTGATGGTGAGGTCGTTGAACCCGCCCCCGTTGATGACCATGGCGGAAGGGAAGTATTCCCATCTGCTGTGTGTAGTCAGAGGCTCCTGCAGGAGCTCGGGCAGTTCGAAATCCTCGGGCCTGGTTACCGAGAAGGCGGTCTGGATTGGCACCGACTCGTCAGATGGTCGGGCATCTTCTTCGGGCTTCTTTGCCTCGCGGGCTTCACGACGGGGAGCGTCGTTTCTCCTGTACTGTGCCAGTCTTCCCCCTTTGATGAGGGTTTCAATGGCGTCCTTCAGGTGGACGCAATCCTCTGTCAAGTGACCATGACTCCTATGGTACTGACAGTATTTGTTTTTGTCTACTCCTGGCTTGGCAGGAGCTGGTCGGGGACGCTTGACGCCACCGTCTTTAAAATCTGTGCTTGCACACTCCGCCAGAATACGCTCGCGGGAAGCCGTGAGCGGAGTGTACTCAGTAAATCGGCCCGAGGGGCCCCTTTGTTCCCGGACCTCCCGGGGTCTGTCTTCCTTCCTCTTCTCTCCGGTGCATCGGGGAGGAGGGTCTTGTCTCGAGCTGCTTCCATGGTTGCGAGCCCTGGAGTCTCGTGCCCTGTTGGCAGCTTCTCTCTCCTCGTAGTCCATATATGCTCGGGCTTTGTCGAGGAGAGCATCAAAAGTTGCAGGTGGCTCGATGCCTACAGCTTTCCTGAATTCTGTACCGGGGAGGAGGCCCCTCTCCAGCAAGTACCTCTTCATATGGTCCGCGCAGGGGACCTGGATTGCTTCCCGGTTGAAGCGGTTGATGAATTCCCTCAAGGTCTCATCATGCCTTTGGATGATGGCCTCGAGGGCTGCCTCGGTCTTTGGGTGGCGACGAGACGCTGTGAAGGAACTGATGAACTGGTTCTTCAAGTTCCGCCACGAGGTGATGGAGCCCGGGGCAAGTCCCTTGTACCAGTCCATGGCCGCCTTCCTGAGAGTTGTTGGGAAGAGACGGCACTTGATGGGGCCCCCGACATTGTGATAGTGGAGCATGGCCTCGAACCCGTCAATGTGGTCGACTGGGTCTGCCACTCCATCATACTCTTTTAGGTGTGGGGGCTTCTCCATGCCCGGGGGAATAGGTGCGTCCATGATGGCCTGCGACAGGGGACCGCGGGGGTCGTCCTCGTCGCTCCTTTCTGGAGAAAGGGAAGGGGTCCTGTAGTTGTGTCGGGCACGTTGCTCGTGCTGGGATTCCCTTGAACGTGATGTTCGGTGCTTGAAGGTTACATGCCCGTCTCTGTTGTGCCTCCGGTCGTGCCTTGATGGGTCGCGAACGGGCTCTTCGGCAGGAATGACGGGCTGTCTTTCATACTGGGGCCGCCTCTGCCTTGGTGCGGGAGAGGGGCTCCTAGAGTTTTCCCTGTAATGTCTCCGCGGGGGAGTAGGGTGTCGAACTTCTTCGACCCGAGGAAGTGGAGATGGTGGCCTTTGATGTCTCCTCGGGGGGCGTCGATCATTTTCCAGTGCCCTAAGTCTTTCTCCTTGCGCGAACAGGAGATAGTTCGTCTGGTTGATGGCCGCGAACAGTGCCTGAGCCGTGGCATCTGCCCCGGCAGGGGCTTGGACTTCATAGAACCGGGCAGCCTGGCGATAGGCGAGAGCCTCCGGATTGTCTTCGAGTCCTGGAGGAGTTGTCGAGGAAGACGCAGTGTTCCCGTCCCTGCGGGTGGAAGGTCCAGGGGCGATTGTCACGGGGACGGTATTGTGGCCGGCACCACTGGGATTGTCCAGGTGCCCATTCTTGTCCGCGGGACCGTTGTTGGCGTCGAGGACGCGAGTGTGTTGTTCTTCACGAGTTGGAGAGGCCATGACAGTGAATGGATTGAGCTTTGGTCTTTGAAACTGTTCGTTAGACGGGGAAGCTGTTTCCCACAGACGGCGCCACTAATCTTACCTGATCAGAAGGTTTGGACCGTCACGGCTGCTCCGAACTGAAGGCTTTTTGAACGAGGAGGGGGGGGGTACCTGCAAGGCACTCCGATGCTTAAGTTAGTGGGAGTACTAGCAGATAATAGAGTTGAGGTTAGAATGATCAATACCTGACCCTCTGGAAGCAGAGGGTATTTATAGCCCCCAGCGCTGGGCCAAGGTTCCTTCATTGGGCCGGGCGGATTTGGCCCAATGGAGGAACTGCCAGGTCCTACGTGGGTAGTGGGGACCAGCACGTGGTCCCCTTCCTGGATGTGCTGCGTGAAGTGTGGGCGGACGGAGACGCGGTCTTTCCGGAGTATCGTTGGGGCAGGGGTGACTGAGTCTGCCCTAGCGAGGTAGCTCGAGTCCATGTCGAGCTGCGCAGCACGGTGCCGAGCTCGACGCCAAGGCCTCGAGCTGGACAGCGAGTGTCGAGCTGGAAGCCAGGATATGGAATTGGACGGCAGTCTGTCGAGCATGACCTCGTCGCGTGGGACTAGTCACCGAGATGTCGAGGTGGACATCAGGGTGTCGGGCATGAACGTGACCCCCTTTACCCAGTGTGTCCTTAGTGAGTCCTTTTGGACTGGGCCTTAGTAATGCTTTTGGGCCTGTCGGGCCCAGTCCAGAACAATAATCAATTATACATATTGACGTAATTGATTACGCCCTCAATAAATGTTTTTTCCGACTTCCACAAGTGTTTATTTAAATTATTTTCACCAAAATACTTTCAAAAGCTTTCACAATACATTTAAATTACTAAACATTTTTCATTCATTAATTTAAAAGCCACGATAACACCAAAATGAATTGCCAGGAACTTTTTTCTACATCAACATGTAGAAGTAATCAATTGCGAGTTCTCATTTAGGTACACCGCGACAAATCACAATGCCTCTGAAAATTGGACAATGACATATTCGTTAAAGAGGTACCGGTTCTTTGCCGTTCTTCCAAAATATCAAGGACCTGGAATTCCTGCGGTCTCACAATCACTATTTGACTGCAAAGAATCCCACAATCCCTCAAAATCTCTTATAGAAAGATCACTCTCTTCTTTCTTAATAGTTGTGATCACGCTCTTCTTTCTTAATACTTGGAATCACGCCAATATATCTAGGATGAGAAGAAAAAGTTTTGATAGGTGAAAAAAGACATTTTACCTTCATGTTTGGTCACTGAGGAGTGCTAACGGTCAACATTGTCTTTTCCTTTGTAAGGATCAAAAGAAGTTATGATATACAGGACATAGTCTTGGAGAAAAAAACTCATATATAGAACTACTCAATTAAACCAACCATCATTGAACTGTTCAATCCATTTCTAAAGGACTGTAAACCAAAAGTGTGTGAACTACTAATAAATTGACTTAAATAAGTGAGTTTGGTCCTAACACCATTGCTCCATACTCTTAACCTTTACTCTGATCACAATGTTGAGCAACCACCTAACCTACATTTGAAATCATCACAAGACAACCCCTTCTCCGATTACACCGCGGCCATCAGTGCTACCGCCGCCAAAAAAAAGCACACAAATGGCAAATACATTCCAACAACCACTCCAAATTAGTCAGGACTCACGTCCACGACTACTATCTTAACCACAACACCAAGATAATTGGAGCCTTAGACTACATTTGAGACCACATTAACCATGACTACAATCAATCCAATTTTAAAGATTACAACACATCCATAACCATTATGTAGAACCTTGCTCATAGTAAGTTGGTTTGTTAGTATTGTTCATGCTGTTAGTTAAACTGCCCCCCTAAATGCAGCAGCTCAAAAATTGTTTAACTAAATTCCATGAAAAAATAAGGCCATTAAAACTTAATCAAAAAGCATATTTTTCAATTCATTGCTCTCTGAGATTTGATTAGCTAACTAACTTATGCATGAGTACCTCGCCTACATAATGCATCATGAAAGACTGCACAACAAAGAGGAAGTAAACATTCGAGCAACCAGGGAAAAAAACCCGTCTTCCAATAAGTATAACTTCAATAACAATAGTAACTGAACATCAATTCCTACAGTGCAATGTATCTAAACCAAGCAACATCAATTCCTACAGTGCAATGTATCTAAACCAAGCATTCATTTTATAACATAAACTAAATCAAGAAAACAAGTGAAGCGTATCACTTTCAAAAAACTGGAGTTGAACATCTCAGTTGCTTAACGATAGCTACTTAAAGGATCAGCTGCTTTTCCAGTTCTAGCATCAGTCCATGCTTTTGCAATTGTTTTCTTCATCTCCTCGTCGCCATCCTCATACATATTCTGCAATTCATTCATGTATAGTATAAGTCAAATCAATATTAATATTCTAAAGAGTTCATGAGTAAAATCAGTAAATGCATAAAATTTTAGAGACAAAGTAGCCTCAGCCAACTAAAAAAGAAAACTGAATCTAACCTTCATCATGTCCATGATTCCTGCCATTGGATCTTTTGCTTTATCCATGGTTGGCTTCAGCTGCAACATCAACAGAAAAAAAAGTTACTACTTCATCACATTGTTACACAAATAAGAGAAATTGTCATCTAATTCAGCAGTTTACTACCTTATCTTCTTTGAAATGCAAATCTAGCCAGTTTGCTTTGGAAGCCTTCACCAAAGTGATGATTACCCTTTTAGGCTTGACAAGAACCTTACATTTCTCTGGTACTATCTCCTTGTGCAATTTCACTACTGCACATCGATAGTTCTTCCCTTGAATGTCATGGAACTTAACATCAAACGCATTTGGCTTAAACTCAGATTCGATCTTGCTCTCATCAACTCCCTCCAATGACACGTATATCTGCATATTTCAAAACACAATCAGCATTAAATCACTGAGTAACTACAACATAAAGGTTTGTCTACATTTAGATTTATAGAGCAAGAAATAAGAAATGACACAAATTGTCATCATTTAGGAGCCATTTGGATTGATTTGTTTGAGCTTATTTGCTAAAATAACTACTTGTGACTTGTGATACTATTTAGAAAAACTTGTGAAAACACCTTATAACATGTCTATAAGTTAAGCTTACATTGATAATGGTAGCTTATACATTCATATGATTGAAAAATACCTATTTAGTAACAGTCAACTTTTCACAAGCTCTTGGTTTATTTTTACTAACTTAGGAGTGTTTGTTTTAAGTTTAGTAATAAGATTTCCAGGAATACATAAATAAGAAATGAGTATACCTATGTTAGTTACAAGATTGAAAATAAAGATTCCTGGGTATAAAGGTTCCAAGGAAAAAAATAACTTCTCATAACTTCTTATTCCCATGAAATTATTCCCATGTAAAAGATTCCTGAGAATAAATTTTGACAACAAACGCCCCCATAGTATTTTTAATAAGCAACTTAAAACACCTTATAGCTTAAAAACTATTTTAGCATATTTTCTTACGTCATTCCATATTTAAAAATTTGTTCACCGGATAATTTAAAAAACACTACAGATTCAATCAGTCGTAACTATCCATCATGAGTTATCCGCTATAAATATTCACCTGCCAGCTATTTTTTAATAACCAAGAGATATAATCTCTCTTCTTTTTTTGGTATAACAAAGTTTAGCTGAGTAGGGTGTCGTCGTCAGAAACTCGTGAAGAATTAGAAAAGACTTGAGGCTCGAAGAGAGCTTACAAAATTACTTACATATTACCTATAAAGCATGGACACCCCGGATACGATTCCAACACTGACACAGCAACACTAGTAATAATTTGAAAAAATAAATAAATTAAATATAATCACAAGTGTCGATATATCGACACAAACACGTTTTTTTTAGAGATGTCGGTACTACAAAGCATATTACCCACCAATTCGAACCCAATTTCTTAGGCGAGCTTATTAACAAGCACTTATTTTGATAAAATAAAATAAAAATTTGGGCTATAAGCTGCAAGCCCTTAGTCAGAAACCTTATCAACTAGACCAAGGCTAGACCAACCTATTGGCCAGAAGCTCTTCAAACTAACTTATGTAAGCTTATATAAGTATAGGTTGACTTTAATTTATCTTGTATTATAGAAATAATTATCTAACAAGGCAACATCACTAATAATTATAAAAAAAAAATTAAATTAAATGTAATCACAAGTCTGAATGCAACGCGGACATGAGAACACTTTATACTAACAACACGATATGAAAAGAAACAATTAAACAAACTTAAAACAATACAGCATAAAAAAAGTCTCCAATAATTACTAAATGTGATTTACATACCTTCACTTTTTCATTATCCTGATCCCAACTGAATGATGCAAGAGGCGAATAATTGATTACAGGTGAGACCTTGGTTCCGGTTGAAATCGGTGCTGGAATCTGCGATGCACGTGCGGAAGATGCTGCCTCCGACGATAACTGCTTAATAAAAAATCAATTATGCAAAAACGAATGCCAACAATAAGCAATTAAAACGGAAATGACTAAAAAAAATTGAATCGAAACTAAATTATGCGAAAAGGAAAATGAAATGATGAGAACCTTCTCCAAGTTGCGAATCTCGGAGGTGAGAAGAGAAAGGATTCGAGGTCGTTTGGTGATTTCTTGCAAGTGACGAAGCTCTTCCAAATCTAATGCAAATTCCTCTGCCATTTTTTCTCGATTACACGAAACTACTCAACTTCGATTTTAGTTATAAAAAATTGGTTTATATGTTTGTCGTTCGGTCTTCGGATTTTGTGGAACGTGCTAGAAGATGCTACTATTATGGAATTAGGGGTAATTTGGGAATCTCGCTATCTTTATTAGGGCTTTCACGGAAGATTCTCGAGACTCCAAAGGGTGGTGGTTCCATTTCGACTAGCCGTTTTATACTTTGTGCAAATTACATTTTATTTTTCTTCAACAATTTTAGTTGAATTTTATTTTTTTTAGAGAATTTTTTTAGCAGTAATCAGGTATTAAAAAAATATATAAATAATTATATTTTGGAGAAAATTGCATAATTAATCATGTTTTAGAAAACACTTAAATAGAAGAGTCAAGTGAGATAATGCATCTTCTTAATTTTATATGGAGGCGCCAAGTGAGATGGCGCATAGATGCAACGTGTTTGCCCTAAGTCATCTCAGATGGCGCCTAAGTGCATTTAAGAGATAATATTTGTTGCTTTTTGATCTGACCTGATCAGAAGGTTTGGACCGTCACGGCTGGCTCCGAGCAGGAAGCTTTTTTGACGAGGTGGGGGGGGTACCTGCAAGACACTCCGATGCTGAAGTAAGTAGGAGCACGAGCAGATAATAGAAGTTGAGATTAGAATGATGAATACCTGACCCTCTGGAAGCAGAGGGTATTTATAGCCCCCAGCGCTGGGCCAAGGTTCCTTCATTGGGCTGGGCAGGTTTGGCCCAATGGAGGAACTGCCAGGTTCTACGTGGGTAGTGGGGACCCGCACGTGGTCCCCTTCCTGGATGTGCTGCGTGAAGTGCGGGCGGACGGAGATGCGGTCTTTCCGGAGTATCGTTGGGGGAATAGTGGACTGAGTCTGCCCTAGCTGGGATGCTCGAGGCAATGTCGAGCCGGTCAGCAAGATGTCGAGCTGGACATCAGGACGCGGATCTGGACCGCAGTATGTCGAGGTGGACAGCAGGTCGAGCTGGACATCAGGACGCGGATCTGGACCGCAGTATGTCGAGGTGGACAGCAGGATGTCGAGCTGGACACCAGGACGTGGAGCTGGACATCATCACTTGGAGTTGGACAGGGGGATGTCGAGCTGGACGTCAAGAAGTCGGGCACGGATGTGACCCCTTTGCTCGGCGTGGTCCTCAGTAAGTCCCTTTGGATTGGGCCTTAGTAATGCTTTTGGGCCTGTCGGGCCCAGTCCAGAACAGGAGCCCCCCAAGTCGTGGTTCCTTAGCGAGGAGCCACGACTTGAACCCAAGTTATTCCCTCGTTGAGGTCTCGTGCCCGGGATGGAGGTGTGGGCCCTCGAGGGCCTTCTCGTGTCGTGCTTTGGAGACGTCCTCGGTGGTGGATGCGCGGAGGATCCTTACCGGGCGCGTCGGTTGAGCACACGAGGTATCTTTCGGGAACTGTGACGCCACCCTATGGGGGTAGGGTTATCATTGCGTTGGGAGCAGTGCGTCGAGGAGACGGAGTCCGTGGTTGCCCGAGGTGACGTTTGGTATTCCACGTCATCACTATAAATAGGAACCTTGGGCCCCATAATACGTTTTCTGCTCTCTGTGCTTTCTCTGCTGTTGATCTCCCAGATTTTTTCCAGTTGCGACTTCTCGTCACAGATTCTTCCATTTCGTAGCCAGATCTCACACTTTGATCCAAGTAAGTGATCTACTTTCTTCATTTTCCCGTTTAGAATGCATGATTCCTGGATTTGTAGATGTTTTAGGACCGTACGCGTGGGATTAGCCCGTTAAACTCGTATTTAGGCCGACGTATTCATGTCTAGGACCGGCAAACGCATGTTTGTGGCCGGCACATTCATAGTTTTAGGTGAAAAACTTCAGGGCTGCCCGGGGTCTTCATGATCCAGGGCGCCTAATTCATGATCGCGCCCGGTATGTTCATGGTCGTGGCCGTGGGCTTCATGGTGCGGCTCGCCATGTTCATACCTCGGGTCGACATGCTTGAAGAGTGGTCGCGCAATTGGTTTTGAGGAAGACCATCGGGTTCAGGGAGTCGGGGAGGCGTCCATTTGTGGAAATGGACTTATGTAGTCGTGTATTGGACGACGTGATTTTGTCGAGCGTAGGACTTCGTGCTCAACTGACTGGTTTCCCGTGCTCTGCAGGTAACCATGGCGGACGAGCCGAGCCCTTCTGGACGCCGCGACCGTGACGAACAGAGTGTCGACGAGTCGGTCACCCTGATCGATACCGTGGCCGACCCATTGCTGGAATGGGTGTGTGTCGAACCATGGGGAATAGCGTCGGTATATAATCGGGATGACCGACATCCATTCACTGTCATTGAAGAGGGTCAAGACCAGCCCGACTTCCAACAAAACTTCGTAGTCATGATTCCGTCAACCGGTGCCAGGATTTGCTCGGTCTATCCGAATTACAGCCTCGCGATGTATGAGATCGCGTTTAAAGACTTAGGGTTGCGGCTGCCATTCACTGATTTTCAGACCGGTGTCTTTATGCACTTGGAGTTGGCCCCGTCCCAGCTACACCCAAACTCTCTCGCCTTCATCCGGGCGTTTGAGTTGACGTGTCGCTACCTGCGGATCGGGGCGACCATCCCTCTTTTCTTCCGGGTATTTCACCTGCAGCGTCAGTCCCGAGGAGGGAAGCATAGCTGGGTCTCCCTGAAGCAGTCGAGGAGACTTTTTAAGATGTATATGGACTCCGTGAGGGGGTTTAAAGACAAATGGTACGTGGTACGTCCAATTACTGATGCCGCTTTAGATTCCCTTTTCGATGAGGAGGGGCCAGTGAGCGATGATGACGGGGAAACGATGGTGAGCGACGACGGGAGCCCTGTGTTGGGTCGTAGGGCTAGATTCCCGGTGTATTGGATGTCCCGACATTACGAGCATGGGACCGGCTATTATCATACCGCCGTCGGGGACATGTGCTCGGATGATCAGCGGGCGTACGACGTTCTTTGCCGGTTTGTCGACAGTTTTCATCCCGCCCGATGGGTTACGCGGGAAGGGGATGATATCCTGGACAAAGATGGCTACCCGACGTTCGAGTCCCGTCCGATCGACACCAAGGCGCTAGTGGAGTGTCCGACATACAGGCAGGCTGCCCGCCTGTTAGGTTGTTTGCTTGAAAAAATTTTATTCGTCACTTACTCACGCAGTTTGCTTCGATACTGACTTTTCCTTTATTTCGTGCAGGTACGATGGCTAGCCGACACGAAAGGCTCTTGAAACTATCCTGCGACCAGAGGCGAGGCAGGAGGGTCGTAAAGGCCCCACAGGCGACGAGGATGGGTCCCCCACCCGGCCAAAATGTTCCTCAGCAGGTGAGGGTGGACTCGCCGTCGAGCTCTGGACCCACGTCGGATCCAGAGGTCGAGGAGATCGACCCCAGCGCCGTTTTGACGCAGAGGAAGAGGACCCGTGTAGAGGGTGGTTCGACTGTCGGCGAGGACGCCGGCGCTGTTAAATCTTTCGCCTTCCCTCCTTGTTTCGAAGAGGCGGGCTTTTTCGAGCGATTCCCCCCGACAATGGTTGCCCATGAAGCTGAGGCCATAAAGAAGATGAGTAAAGAGGAAAGGAAGGCGTATCTGGCCGCCAGTGTGGACAGGCTGGTCAAAATGGCCGAAATGGCTTTGGTGTTATCTGAGGATGCAGGGGATGCTGCCCGTGTTGAAGAGCTCGAGCAGGAGAAGGCGGCGCTGACCGCAAGCTCGCGGAAATTGAAGGTCGCTCTGGAACGCTCCGAGGGGATGTTCCGAGAGCAGACCGCGATGCTCGATGCTGAGAGGGAGATGTTGACCCTAGAGAAAGAGAAATCGGGGAGGTTGACTGAGGAAGGGGAGCTTCTTCGGGCGGACAGGGATCGCCTGGCGGCCGAAGTCGAACGTTTGGGTAAACAGGTCGAGGAAATGCGTGCTACCCTGCAACCTGCCGAAGATGAGCCCGAGGACATAGTAGCTTTGAAGAGTCGGGCGGAGCTGGTCGCTCACATCCGGCTCCTCGAGGTGGACTGCATCGGTGCTCTGGAGGACGGATTCAACTCTGCGGTCGATCAGCTCTCATTGCTAAACCCTGGCCTGGTCACTGAGGGTATCAGTCACACACACCGGGTTGTAGGTGGCGCGATCGTTCCTCCGCCGGACTCTCCCAGCGTCGACAATGATGATTCCGTGGAAGTCTGAGTAGGATAGCGGGCCTGTGTGCTCTTGATATTTGTATTCTTTGGGCCTGCGTGCCCGTTTATTGTATGTTACGAACATCGCCGGCCTTCTTGGTCGGTTTACTATTGTTTTGTCGCCTTCGGGCATTTGTATCAACGCTGTTTTACATTTTGGATTTTTTGCCCTTGTTTGAAATCGTACATTTGCATGAATTTAGCCTAAGCCACGGGCCCGAGGAGTGCCCGTAAGCGGCTTTGATTTGGCGAGCGAGTATGCTCGTCTCCGTTTGTATGCGTTCCCGGCCCTATTTCGATTGGCCAGAACCACCTAAGTGTTGCGCTCGAGGGGAGAGATTTTCTTTTGACCCTTGTAGATGTCCCGTTATCCTTGATGGAATGTCGGGCATTTCGGAGCGAGGTTGCTCAGTCGGGCGTGGAGCCCGTTAGGGACGTTTCGCCCTTGGCGTGAACTGCCCATCGCGAGCTGGGTGTTCTGCCTTATGGGTACGACGATGGTGGGGCTCGGTATAGCTGTCCACGTTGGACACTGTCGATCGTCATCGTTTACCGCGCGATGCTGTGCTATTTTGGTCGTACGTCGGGCTTGTACCTTAGCCTTAAACGAAATGGGACGTTTTTCCTCGTTGACCGGACGGCTTTTCCTCGTTGACCGGGCGCGGGTGCTGCCGGTCGAGGGTCCCAGGTGTTGACAGTTTCTAACTGTAGTACTGCTTTAGCTTGGCAGCATTCCAGGGTCGTGGTAATGGCTCTCCGTCTAACTGCTCGAGGTAGTACGCCCCGGTACCCGTGGTGCCGTGG